TGCCAGGAGAGGGTCAGGTTGGATATTGAGAAAATTCCTTCCCAGGAAGGGCTGCCCAGCCCTGGAACAGTCTGCCTAGGTCAGGGGTGGAGTCCCTGTCTCTGGGGGGATTTAACAGCCGTGTGGACATGGCACCTGGGGACATGGGTTAGTTGTGGCCTTGGGAGTGCTGGAGGAGCAGCTGGACTCTGTCATTATCAAGTCATCGAATCATGGAATAGTTTGGGTTGGAAAGAACCTTTAAGCCCATCTAGTTCCACTGCCTGCCCTGAGCAGGGATGCCTTCCATCAGACCAGGTTGATCCAAGCCCTGTCCAGCCTGGCCTGGAACACTTCCAGGGATGGGGCAGCCACAGCTTCTTTGGGCAACCTGTGCCAGGAATTCGCCACTGTCACAGGGAGAGTTTCTTTCCAATATCCCATCTAACCCTACCCTCTGGCATTGGGAAGCTATTGCCCCTTGTCTTCGCCCTCCATGCCCTTGTCAGAAGTCCCTCTCCAGCTCTCTTGGAGCCCCTTCAGGCACTGGAATTGTGGTAACAGTTCATCAGCTCCTTGGCTTTTCTTGTGGACAGAGCACTTCTGCTCTCTAATGGACTGTAGTATTGTCTTTGATTACGTATATCTTTGAGATAATACCTTGTCTGTCATCAGGAAACTGCAAAGGCTCTGTCTTGAGGCCCCAAAAGTGATGACATTCCTGGTAGTGCCATGGTTATGATACAGATATTTAAGGCAGGATTTATCAAACTGAACATTGGTGACTACTACGGAGGTGGCTGCATCATGGCCAGCCATCCCATATATTTTGGAATGGTGTCACTTTGTTCATGGGTGCAGTTCAGACCTTCCAGACCAAAAAGATGAACTGTGGCTGAACCTCACTGGGTACAAGGGAGCCAAACCATCTATCTGATATCTCAGATATAATTTAGGTTGGATAAGCAGCATTCCTGGTCTGAAGCTGCAATTCAAGACCAGCTGAGCTGAACCAACCCTGCCTGTAAGGAAAGTCAGTTTCAGTATGAGTTTGGGGCTTTTCTTTGTACAATATTGACACATGAATTGGTGAAATTCCTCAGAAAGTCAAGCCTAAAGTGTTTTACTAATTTTTCTACAAGGTTTCAGTGTGTGGCTTTACAGACCTTTTATTCCTTAAATAATGATGATTTGTAATAGTCTAAAATGACCTGTGAACTTAAAATCCATGTGAACTTTGGATCTAGATTCTATTAGCCAGCAAGAGCCTGTGTTATTTTGGGATGTTATTTGAGAGAAATCCCAGTGAAAACGCATTGGCCTTCACAGTTTGTGGTCAGAACAACTCCCTACACTCATGTTTCAGCCTTTATGTCACACCATACATAGAATTTAATCTACCTCATTAAGTGTCATAACTTGCATTTGACTAAAGTATTTTGCAGTAATGTCACTACAATTATCACCTTTCAGTCTTCTCTTTATTAAATAAAGAGAACATTTAAAAACTCTCTTATTTTCTCTTTTGCCCATCATTTAAACCGTGGACCTTTTTTGTTCCAGCTTTTCAAAACACATTCAAATCTGATTATGAAACTGGACACTTTTAGTTTCATATTGCTGTATACACAACTGACCAACATTTTAATAGAGTAGGTTTGACTTCTCCTGAGTGAAAATTACCTGGAATGGCTGATTTCAAAGCTATTCCCAATGGAATAAAAGGGCCTTAATCATCACACTATAATGAAATGGGATCACCTGGATCTTTCCATTTGGGAATTAGTAATAAAGTTTTGCTGCTTTTCTGTTCTGAAGATTGGTTGTGTTTATTTTTCTGTTCGGTTTCCAAAATAATATTGGTTATTTTAGAGAATCTTCATTCATAAATGCAGTGTACACGTGTAAATGGTGTTTGGTTGGTTTTCACTAATTACAGTGTGTGTCTGCATTGTTACACTGGATTAGGGCAGTAATCTGGGTAATTACTGTTTGTCCTCAGTGTCTTAGCAGGCTCCTTCTGCCATGGCCTGCAAACAAGGGACACTTGTGCCCCAGATTGCTGATCACTGGGTTAACGACATGGGATGAAACAAAGAGTGTGGAATGAGTGTGAGACCTCATTTCAGATTGTGGCAGCTGCTCCAGCTGTGACAGAGCCAGCAGAGCATGGCAGTGAATACCTTGAACGGGTGGCAGGAGCTGTACTGCTCTCCTCAGGAACCAATGCAGCCCTCAGGTGACAGTCAGGGCATGCTGGGGTACTGCTGTGGCCCCCAGTTTTGGGAGCAGCCTGAACAGGAGCTGTGAGGGGTCCCAGCAGCAATCAGGAGGGGATTGCACGAATTTGTGTTCTCAAGTGCCACAGAATTCAACAAACACGTGGATGTAGCACTTGAGGACATGGTTTAATGGTGAACATGGTGGTGGGGCTGGGTTGGTGGTTGGACTTCATGATCTTAGATGTCTTTTCCAACTTTAATGATTCTGTGATTCCATGATTCTAAAACTGATACATGGAAATCTGACCTGATGGGAGCTTGCCTTTCAGCTTTCAACTTAAAGACAGTAGGTTTAGATTGGATATTGGGAGGGAATTCCTCCCTGTGAGGGTGGCGAAGCCCTGGCACAGAGAAGGCAGGTTTCCCAGAGAAGCTGTGGCTGCCCCATCCCTGGAAGTGTTCCAGCCAGGATGGACAGGGCTTGCTTGGAGCAACGTGGTCTACTGGAAGGTGTGCCTGCACATGGCAGGGGTGGGACTGAATGAGCTTTGAGGTCCCTTCCCACCCAAGCCATTCCATGATTCTGTGATTATCACAGTTCACCCCTGGCTCCATCCACCAAGGAGCCGTCAGCCCTCTATGACCACTGACAGAGTACAAGGAACAGATACATTACCTGCCCCAACAGTGCCATGAACAGAGACAAGGTGACCTGGAGAACAGGAACTCGTTCTTCGAATCACTTCTTTAGCAGTGCAGATCCCTGGGCTCTTGGACAATGGAGGAGAAGGCGGTGGATCCTCCCCTTGACTCCACACTGGTGACTCACCCCGGCTGCCACTCTAGGTTTGATCTGTTCAGGCTCTGCATTTGTAGATATCAGATTATCTGGGTTAAGTGCAGCTTCGCTTTCTCCCTTTATCTATCTGCTTTGAAGCTGTTTAACATGATCTGCCTGTTTTTATGCAACTCAGTATCAAGAACTCCCAGGTACTGACTGACACCAAGCACGGAGCTGAGTTTTTCTGCAGTGACCGCATGCTCGGTGTGTCCCTGAACTCACAGAGTCCTGATTCCCACACCCTGCTCTGCTGACAGCAATGGAGAAGTCTCTTCAGTGGTGACACGAGTTAACCCCCTCTAGTTCTTCACAGTGACTTTTTATTGTAAAGTACTGTGGAGAAATCCCACAATATTCTAACAAGCAGGAGTGACATCTGAATGGAACGTGGTCTTACACAGTTTATTAGAAATTGTTCACTTTTTAAAATGAAAACTGTCTTAAATTAATGGGCTTCATGAGGAATAACCTGGGAAAAATTACTGTTGTATTCGTACAGCAGCACTGTTTGGGTACCGTGGGGGTGGCAGGGAAGTGGTGGTTTTGGGTTTTGTTGTTTTTTTTCTTACCAGTGTTCAGCTCTGACGGCCATCCTTTCCCTTCTGGGGAAAAACGCAGGAGTGACCTAAGAAAGGTCCCTGGGATCAGGTCACCTGGCCTTAACCTGTGACCAAACTGGAGAGTCCCCAGTGTAGATGGGGGATTCAGATCATCCAGTAAGAACTGATTAAGAGAAATCTCGTATCTGCTTGGCTGGGCCAGTTAATGCCTCCCCACAGGAACAAGGATCTCCGGGGCCAGAGTTCATTCCTCCACCGGCAGAGTCTCTATCTTCAGTCACAGGAGTCACATTTTAATTTCTAATCCAGACATTATTTATACAAACCAATACTGTAGAGAAGACTAACAGATTTTGCAGGCAGATGCGTCTCCTCTGTCCTCCCTGAAACGAGAAACAGCCGCCCTGTGCAGCAAGTCCTGGTTTAGAACGCTGGTTTAAGGGAATCAAATAGTTGAGAATTCGGCAGAACCGCAGGTACATGGCTTCTGTAGCCGAAGAAACTGCACCTTTTTATTGTCGGGGGCGCAGCTCGGGCCCTGGTCCCTCCACTTGCACCGCCCGGAGCTCCCGGGACCAGTTTGAATCAGCGGGCAGCAAACGCCGCCCCCGCGCCGGGACTGCGGCCCCGCAGAGACAGCGCAGCGCCGCCGGACCGCCCGCCCGGGCACCGCCCGCGACCCGCCCCGGGATCCGTCCCGCGATCCACCCCGGGATCCGCCCCAAGATCCGTCCCGGGATCCGCCCCGGGATCCGCCCCAAGATCCGTCCCGGGATCCGCCCCGGGCCCGGACTGCCCGGCTCCGCCGCGTCACCCGCGGCCTCACCTGCCAGCGGCGCGCCCCAGCTGTTCCCGCCGCCCCCCGCCCGCCCCGCTTCCCGCCCCGGGTCCCGCTCGG